GCACCATGGTGTCACTAAAAATATCTGCTCTCCTAAAAATTCTATAATTTTCAAATCTTCCAAAAATGAGGTCTCAATAATTATGTTTACATAGACCATTATTGCGTTCTACATTGTTGTTCTTGTCTATAATACAATATATATGCAAAAAAAAGAAACAATTATCCGAAACTACTAACTATGAAACCAAGTCGAAGATCCTAGATCTTTAAGTCTTTATCTGAAACTGCATGACATCCCCATGCATATTTTATTATTCCTATGTTTATTTTTGTTTCGTGGTTATTTTGGAAAGTTGTGTAAGAATAGAACAACCAAAATTGCCCAAGGTGTAGACATACTAATAAATGTACCCGCGGCTCTCGTGGTATTTATTTCCTTTGCTGTACAGTTATGGTGGAAAAGCGTGCATGTGAGCTACTCACCATGCAAATTTACTGAATTCGAGCGAGTAGCGAATGCACTCATGCTACGCACAGCATTAAATGTCACTTTCGTTTGGTGTTGGCTTCACGCAGTAAAAATTGAAATGGCTGCCAATCTCGAATCTTTCGTCTGATTATTTATCCGTTTAATTTGGTTTAGCTGGTTCCTCACAAGAACTTATGTTTTACATATATAGATGAACATAAATAGACACTTCCTGAAGAGCACTTGGTGGGAGAAAATAAGATAGACTTATGTTTTACATATATAGATGAATATAAATGGACACTTCCTGAAGAGCACTTGGTGGGAGAAAATAAGATAGTTGTTACTTTTTGGCGTTACCAAATCCAACTGGATTCTTCCTAACTTAGGTGTCTACTTGATAGGTAAAAACAAAGTATTATATTCTACAATATGTTTATTGTATTTTTACTCTATAAGATTTTTATATCTTTATTTCACATACTACTGATAGAAAGTCTTTGTAATAATGATATGAAGTTATATAGAAATTTTGAAATCCAATTCAAAAATTGTCCGAAATTATCTTTTCATCATTAGGAGTTTAATGTTATTGACCTTATCAGAATGCCAGTCTATTCTAAACAGAAGATGGTATACAAGCTCTCTATAAATATGTATTTTTACTCATTACAATCGTAAATCATTTTTGGTTGTTTGTATCCATAATTTAATATAGTACTCTTAAAAAAGATTTGAAGAATTTTCAATATACATTAAAACTCACAAGGCGGTAAACAAAGATTATTTTGGTTAATATATAAGTGGAAGATAAAAAAAATAATTTAAACGTTAATCAATATCCTTTTCCCAACCATATACGATTGATGAACAACTGAGGTTTTATCACTTTGTAAGAGAGACGTTCCAGGTTCATTCTACTCTTGCAACTAGTTCTTCCATTGCTGATTATGCTCATTTGATAACCATGATTATGCATTATTGTATAACACTGTACTGGCCCGGTGGTTATGGCGCTCGACTCGCAATCTGAGGGTCGCGGGTTCGAATCCCCGTCACACCCAAACATGCTCGCCCTTTCAGCCGTGGGGGCGTTATAATGTGACGGTCAAGAGTATCCCAAGAGTTGGAGTATCCCCTTCCCTCTAGTCTTACACTGCTAAATTAGGGACGTCTAACGCAGATAGCCCTCTTGTAGCTTTGCGCGAAATTCAAAACAAACAAACAATAACACCGTACTTTCTACTGTAATAAGCTTCTGCAAAGGGCAGCCTTACATCCCGATATATATTCCACAGACTTTCAGTGTATGTGGCCGTCAACTTTGAAGACTACTTTCAAACAGACTTACAGAACAAAAGTCTATATTTAAAACACGTTTGAATGTAAATGTTGAGATCCCAATTTCTTTGGCCATTATACTTGTAAAAATAGCCGTTTATTTCAAGGTGTGGCTCAAAGCTTGTGAATATTTAACTTGTGAGTCTTCGTCCTCTTTAAATGCTTGTTTATTATCTTGTTAACAATACCAGGAAATATGAATTATGCTCAGCTTTATTGCAATGGCATTTCTGGTCAGAGAATTATCTTTCATAACGACAGTTACTCTGTATTAGCCTGTGATGCTAATTTGGAGCACAATGCTGACTTAAACGCTCTGCCGTACGAGTTTTTGTCTTCTTCCTTGAAGAACGTGGAAGGCTCTCTTCTTCCAAATACTGCGATCTTACAGCTATTAATAATCTTGCTGTATGAATATTTCTGTTTTGAAATTGTCTTATATTCTTCCAGTCCTAAGTCTAACGTAGATGGATTGCCCTGTCGAATGGTTGGGAATTCTTTGTGAACTAAATATATACATACAAATATATCATCCATGGCGTCACGTCTGTCATCTGCGACGACGCACTACTGCCTAATCCTGTGCAAATAATTCTTATAAAGAGTGAGAAACCCTTTCTAGTCTAAAGTCAAGAAACTACGCCTCTTTGGCGATTTACTTATCTTTAATTAGGGCAATGGAATACTAGGTTAGGAAAACGTTATTCAGTTTGTATTAAAATAAAACATATCACTACAGATACTTACTGCATAAGACGTGTTCGAACTGCACATTGAACAACAGTTAACAACTAAATAAAATGAATAACAACACACGACATGACGTTTTATCCGGGTTAATGTTGTCATGTTCTATCAGGGTAGGATTTTTAAATCAGAGATGTGTACAGCTGACGAGTTCTAGTATTCAATAAATGGCTTCCTATTATCAATTAGTGGCAAAAAAACTCTGAAATGTTACTTTTTACACCTCTGATTCGAAATCTTACTGTAAAGAGCCGATTAAGAGATCTGTGATGAAACTACATTTGTAGTCATGCATGGTGTTAATTAGTTTTATTAAGCCTAAAAAGTATCATTGTTTCTCCAGCAAATGTACTTTACACTTCTGCACAAATTACAAATTTGGATATATGCTTGAAAGTAATCTGAGAAGTTGGAGTCAAGAATAAGGTTAAATGTTCTTGTGTTATCGGTCTCTCTGCCACGTATCTTTGATGGATTTAACTGACATATAGGATACTGCTGTGGAGTAAGGGCTGAAAGACAGGACACTGTTCAAAGGTCAAGTGCTGTTTTGTATGACATATATGTATGTGAAATTTGAAGAAAAAAATAGCTACTTAAATGCAAATTTCAGGAAATAAATTAAATGCAATACAACAATGAATGTCTTATTGACGAATTGTTGACAGCTGCCTTTTTTATGAAAACGACTTTAATTTGGTTTGTCATGGTAAAAAGAATGAGGGCTATATTTCTTTAAAATCCAGAGAATTATTGATTTGATTATAACAAACTTGAATTCAACGTGTGATTTTACTTTAATTAAGTGCCCCCCAGTGGCACAGCAGTATGTCTGCGGACTTACAACGCTAGAATCCGGGTTTCGATACCCGTGGTGGGCAGAGCACAGATAGCCCATTGTGTAGCTTTGTGCTTAATTACAACTAAGCAAACAAACAAACAAATACTTTAATTAAGTATTGTGTTTGTTTTCACTAATCTATCTTCTATTTCAACTAGTGAAGGCTGTCTAATCAAAGCGTATTACTGTGTTAACTCCGTTGTTATGAGTTAAAAGTATAATGAAAGTTAAAACTTAGAGAATTGTTTGTTGGAACAAGAAAAATGCTCACAAATTTGGCTGTTAAAATTCAAATTTGTAAGGTGGGTAAAAAAATCTCAATAAACATAAACTAAATATGCAAAATACTGGTTAGTCTTTCCATGTGAAAGATATATATATATATGATGAATGTATTTACCATCCGATGCAATTGATCATAACAGTTGGTAAATGTTTTATTGATAGTTAATTTGTGTTTAGTAAATCCTAAGATGCTTACTTGAAGATCGTATATTCTGCAAAGCTACATTAAGCCTATATTTCTTTGTTTTATTACAGTTAAGCTTCTTTTATTGGGAGACTGGGTCAATAGAATACCGAAGTTTTATCTGCTGATTAACTCCTGAGTATGAAAATAATATATAGTACAGGGAAAGCAGCTAATTCATCAAATTTGCACAGTAAATAAAATTTCACGCGCTCTTCTTGCGTCAGCAAATACGTTTGTGAAGCCTCACGCTGTACCAGCTGCTAAAACCATCCATCAATTGGTTAAAAAACCATTGTAACATACAACATTCTTGCATGTATCAGTCTTCTGCTTCAGTTCTCTAATAGTCAGGAAAGGCAGGATCGGTTCTAGTATTCGTACTATTACGTATTCTCATGTGCATTTTTGTATATGTGTTTATGAATTAATATATGTTTACTTATATACAAGATATGTATCCAGAAGACAATAGTGCTGTATTAATTCTTGATTTCATTTGCTACTCTTCAGCCAACAGTTTTTGAACTTTCTGAAAAGCATGGGCCGAGCGTGATCAAGTGGTTAGCTTGTCGAACTTTAGATCTACAGGTCCAATGTTCGGGTCCCGTTACCGTAAAATAACGTAGAAAAAAGTAGAAGCACAACTTCAAGATAAAACCTTATATTCATTCATGTCCGCATACACACACATACACACACACATATATATATATATAATTAGATTAAAATACATATATAGTATTGACAATAATACTAGATTCATATAGTCTTTTTTATTTATTTCAATTAATGTGTGCGATTAATAAACAAAGCTCTTAATGCATAAATTACACGATTAATCGTAAAGTTTTGTCTTCCATCCATAGAACTGTTTGAAATATAAGACAGTACTCGGTAATTATGTTTAAAGATGTAGTCTTCAGCAAGTGGAGTTTAACTTACCTTTTTTTAAACCAGAGTACCCCTTATTTTTATTTCATACATTGTTTAAATTCCAGTTCATAACTTATTCCAAAGTATCTTTTCTGTTTCCATTTCTTTCAACTTGCAAACTCTTATCTCAGTCCTTAATTTCTCTTGATTCTTTGTCTCTTCTATATAATTAATTATTTAATGAATTATCTTATATTTTTTACTAATTATTAGTATAAATAGTGTATTTTTTTTCTCACTCTCTCTTTCTTGCAGCCGTTTCCGTTAGCGTTAGTGCTTGGACTCTGGTGGCCATGTCAGTTGAACGCTACTACGCCATCTGTCACCCGCTCAAGTCACGAGAATGGCAGACCCTTTCTCACGCCAATCGGATGATTTGGATTGTTTGGGCTGGTTCATTTATTTGTATGTTACCTATAGCAATTCTAAGTGAGCTGCAGCCTATTCGAGACAGTGGTAAGTTGAAGTAGGACCGTAGTTATAAAATTGGTAATTGGCGTAGGTTTGTTTTAGTAAAAAGCTACACAATGAGATATATGAGCTGCATTCGCTGCGGGGCTCAAATCCAGAATTTTAACATTATAACTAACTACTATTGAACTTCTAGGAGACTAGTGTAACAGTAACGTAAAGGACAAGCAAGTACATAAAAGAATTTATTACTTCTTAAAGAACTAAAAGCAAAAGTACTTAATTGAAAATTTTATACATTAGATTTTCTTGTTTAAACAAAAGAACGTGTGATAACTTTGGTAAAACCGTTAATTTAATGTGTGACAAAGTTGTAACGTGTTTCGTTAATGATTTACAATGTGCTCTTAGATTTAGGAATTTGGGTTACATTTCGTTTCAACTTGGCTGCTTTTCGTTTTCATTACTGATCTCTGAAGGCAGCAATGCATTTAGCAATTTAGTGTTTAAAATAAAAAGAAACCAATTAGACGTGCATTAAGTATTTAACTCACATCAATTCCATGGGATAATGAAACGTTTGGTAATTAACTCAGCATTTGTTTAGTTTCTTTTTTTAATAAGATTTCAACGATAAGTTTAGGTTTTTATCTGTATAACTTATCGTATAGTAGCCAAGTTGAATTCTATGGCACTTATCATTAAGTAGGGATTGTGATGAAACAAAACGGCGGTCATAAAGATCGCACGTTTAAAACCACCTTTCAAATGTCTAATTGTTAACAATAACTATTTCACAGTATTGGCTGAGCAAACCTAAAGCTTATTGTACTCATAAGACCACCTACGTCGTTATATACGTGTTTATGACGTGAATCAAAATTTCACTATTTCAACGAATTTTCATCTAAGTAAGTAAGTAAGTGACTTTTCCAGACAAACGTACAGAAGAAGTGACGAAACTTATCGCTCTAATTCTTTCACAGAACTTTTCAGTATGGGATCCCAATGACTTCTTGCTTGTACCGAAAATGATACTAGCACATATATATGTATAAAACAAATGATGCGCAACTTTGGACATATAATTAGATTTGAGGGTTGGTTGGTACATATCCTGATGAGTAATAAAATCGAATCAGGTATACGCGCGCCCCACGCTTGGTATTGCTGGCTCACAAAAATATAGTTAATAAAAAGAAAACAAACAAGCATAATAAAGAAATTTTAATTTTATAAAGAGACGTAGAGATCGATATATATATAACCTAGCTAGCTATTGTAATACAGAAAGTGTTGATGCTACAAAAAGTATTGAAACAAGAAAAACTGAGTTACTTAAAGTAAAAAAAAAACTACTTTTGTTCAGACTAACAGAATTACAGTTATTTGTATTTTTGACTTTCTTGTTTCAACACTTTTTAAAGCATTAAAAATTTCTATATAACTATAGCTAGGTAGGCTAGTATATATCGATCCCTACTTGTATTTATAAAATTCTAATTTTTTTATTATACTTGCCGTATAATAACCAATATGTATGCTATGGAATTTATCTTTTAATACCAAGGTGGAAGAGATTGTGTAGCACTATTCTATAATGCTCAAGGTGCATTCTATGGAACTTATCGTATACAACCCATGTGGTTTGTATTATATGGAGTTTATTGTATAATATCAAGGCATTGAGTATTTTACGGAATTTATTGTACAGTATCATGGTAAGGGTGTATTTCAATTTATTAATTTTTAGCTGACGAAAGTGTAAATAATTTGGAGCTTCAAGCTACGTTCCTGTAATTGTCTAAGTCCATCATTTGATGTTCAGATCTAAATTTAAATACTCTAAAATTCCTCACAAAACATCATACAAAACCTGTAAGATTCATAAATCATGATTTTAAGATAATTCGAGATCTTGATACAACGTTTTTTTATAAAAATAACTGATAAACATCAACGAGAAATTACGAAGTATTTTAAATGTATGGTTGCACAATAGTATATCTGCGCCACGTCTATCGCAAGGATCTGATCCAGAATATTTTAGCTTTATAAGCTTTCTCGCTTACTGCTGAGTTACGAACTGACCGGCATTTCCTTGGAGCCCCCCTGTGGCACAGCGGTATATCTGCGGACTTACAACGCTAGAATCCGAGTTTCGATACCCGTGGTAGGCAGAGCACAGATAGCCGATTGTGCTTAATTTCAAACAACAACAAAAAATACCAAGAGAAGAAACAACAACTTTATATTTATTTATCGCTAGGCACCTTTAAACTAGGTACTTTAATTCTTTTTCTCACTTTATTTACCATATAAAATTTACTTTCTCACATTAGATCAAATATTTATTTTCCCTCAGCCGATGCTGCTCGTTACTGCAGGTTTTAGTTGGTCACTTTGGGAGTTGTTTTAATCGTGTTTTGTATTGTACTTTACAAAACATACCTAAACAAGCTTTAAATATTATCCCAAGCTGTAACATTAAACGTACTCTATTTGTCAAAAACATATAAAACTACACTTTGTATAAACAATAATATTTAGGATATAATTAGATTTGAAATAAAACACATTACAGAGAGATAAGCCAAATGAAATACCCGAAAGAAACACTGTTTACACTATTTCATTAAAATAATACTCCATAACTTCAAGAACTTCCGCACTACAGCATTCAGAAAAGCTACAAAAATAAAGTAAAAAGCGTGAATACAACAATAACCAGTCTTGTAATTTTCTGACTCTGTAGATATGAAAAAAGTTTTAAAGTCTGATAATGAATTGGCTTCACTGAGTTTACTCGCATGTTGCATATGTTTGTATAAGAGTAATTTCAAAGAAAGCACTAAGCTGTGAATCTTACCCCTGTCAAATTTTGGGTCCTTTACGAAAACCAGAGACTATTTATTTCAGAATATAATTGTCTTTTTCTACACAATCCTAAATTCCATTACTGTACAAGAAGACCTCAAAGCTTGTGTTATCAAGCAATTTGCTCTAATTCTAACACAAAAAGACATAAATCACTTACCTATTTTAGGTGCTTTTCACCCATCCTGCGTATATATTATGTGACAAAACATTCGTTACATTAAAACAAGGGTTCAGTCTTACAAGATAGTTGCTCAATTTTGTTTTTAGTGAATGTAGTTTCTGAGTTTAACGTCCCTAATTGCTACCATTGTGCTTCTAGAAAAAGATATATTGTAAAACCATTTTTGAAACACTCAGATGAAACATAATTAAAGCAAATGCTTTAAATAAATTATATTCAAACTCATTAAAACAATCATTTAGGCATTTTCTATTGATAAACCGCCTCAGATATCAGTGAGATAAAATATCATTAAAAAATTAACGTGAGAGCACTAGGTTAAAAAATAACTGTAAAAAAATGAGACAATTCAAAATAAAGAAGCTAGTTTTGATTTAGCTAAATTTTAAATCTTTACTGAAAAAGTCTTTGTAAAAATTATCTCCAATCTTACTTAAAAGCAAACCTAAATTACCTAGGTCAGTTTCATAGAGAACATAAGAAAATAGCATTTGTTAGGTTCTTGTTACAAATTCAACAGCAGCAAGCTTTTATAAGAATACTATAATTTCAAAAACCGAAGAACACACTTTTAATAAATTTTAAAATTTCGCAACCTTTTTCGAATTTTACCTAAACTGTGGTTATATCTTATCAATGCTCGTTAAAAGATTGGCTATTTTGGGGTTAAAGTAATATTACTTACAAAGTGATAACTAAACTTATTTGTCCATAACATAGTTAGAGTTTGTAATGTAAATAGAGAAATGGAAAATTCAGTCACTAAAAATTAATACAAAAGGTATTTGTAACGAGATTGAGAGACTAGATACAATTGCACAATAAAAACACGAAATCTTTATTGAGAATTAACTGCGCGGATAAAACCAAAACATGATGAATAATTACAATAAACATAATTGCCCAATAAAAACACCAACTGGCATTTGAGATACTGTTGAATCAAGAACAATGAACGCAAAAGGAATTTAATAAAACTAGACTTAAAGGGAAAGTAAACTGGCTTAAATAGAACTGATAAAAATAGCAACTTTAAATTTATTCTCGCTTTAACCAACACATTCTGAACTTTACGGGTTGAACGCATCGAGACTAGAGTGAACCTAAACAAAAAAGTCAACAAGAAAAACTATAGATTCGTGATGTAACAGGCGATCTGGCAATTACACTGTTTCTATACC